GTTCTTCTAAAATTGTTTGATTATTTAATTTATATCCTGAATATGCATTTCACATTACTTATTAAAATCCCAATGTTGTCAAAGGACACCAACAAGAAACATAAACATTTCGTTAGATGTCAGTCAGATTCATATTAGGTTTTTGTTCCTTTGTTTAATAAGACTTTATTTTTGTTTTACTTAGAATGACATGTACAAGAATAAAATGTCTTTTGATCTTTTTTTATTTTTAAAGAGTTATTCATATGATGTTTTAAGTATGAGCAAAATGTTTGCCACGTATACGAAACGTTTACCGAAAAGATCATCATCTATATCTTGTTGTTCACCTTCTTCATCAACTGATCGACCATGAACAAAATCTTTTAAATAGACTTTAAAAAAATTATTTTTTTTAGAATAAACTTTCTATTTGTCAATAGGAAATGTTCTTTTTTTTTTACCGTTTTTTTCAAATAATAAATTATTAGAACAGAAATGTTGACAATATTGTATGAGGTCATCTTCAGATTTACTAATTGTTGATAGAGCTACTCTTACGTTGGATCTACAAAAAATAATTTGAAAGATAAGAAAAGACGAAAAAAGACTGCGAATATGGGTGCCGGCGAAGAGAATATCAACTTTCACACATCTACATCCACATCCACACTCATTTTGAATTAGATTTTAAATGATAAAACAAATTCATTTTAGAAAAAATTCTTGAAAATTCTATTGTAAAATAACTAATTATATTGATATACTATCGAAAATAATATTCAAATTCTTAATATGAGAAAATGATCTAATCGAGTTTAAATGTTAAGTCTGTGTTTAAACAGAGTATAATTATGCAATTCAATATTCATTTTATTGCTTATAAAACATTGTATTATCAACTAGACACATTCAAACTCGAAATTCTTCATAAGAGACGAATTAAATCTATTTATTAATCAATGTAGAAATCACTCAAATAGATTACTCTTTTCTCATTTATTTTCACTTTGAAAACCAATCATTAACTTATTATTATGATATATGTAAGACAAACCTTTTTCGGAACATTCCGTTATTGAACTCATTGAATGAAATGTAAAATTGGATGGTAAAGATAATTGTTTTATTAATGGAAAATAATTTATCTTATTATCATTGAGAATAATTAAATCTAAATGTGTATATGTATACATCGAATCCCTTATCATCAATTAATGGTTGTTCAAGATAATCTCTATCATGTGTATCAGCTTCTAATTGTCGTTCAATTTCTTCATCTATTTCCGTATCATCAGACATTATTCGATTTGATTCCTAAATTAAAATAAATATTTAAAATTTGTTAATGTTTATTTTGTTTAATTAAATTACATCAAGTTTCTTCATTAAAATAGCAACAACAACATTAACAAGAACAAATATAACAAAATAAATCGGTGCTAATACTGTCATTAAATGATTTTTTCCACCATGTGGAGAATCATCTTGACGTAACCATCCTTTTATATTGAAAATCATATAGAGATTTTTACAAAAGATAAATAATAATAATTAAAGAAAAAGGCTAAGAGTTACTTTCATTATTCCTTTCCAATTATCATCAGTTGCAATACGAAATAATGTTAAAAAAGCCATACCAAAATCCTTAAAATGTGCGTGTTTATCAAGTCCAGTACATGAACGTTCTTCACTACATTCTAATTT